TTGTCGTATTTTTCATTTCATAATTAACCAAATGTTTTCAGTGGGTGACAGGTCTGGACTGCAGGCAGGTCAGAATAGCACCCGGGCTCTTTTAATATGGAGCAATGCTGCTGTAAAACATGCAGAATGTGGTTTGACATTGATGTTTGACATCATGAATACTGATTTTTGAACTGTGAACTCATAAAAAGCTGAGTGGTCTTTAGCTCAGAGGACACAGTGTCCATGATTTCCAAAAAGAATTTCAAATTTTGATTTGTCGGACCACAGAACACTTTTCCACTTTGCCTCAGTCCATTTTAAATGAGCTTGGGCCCAGAGAAGGCCGCATATATACATATATATGTTTGTTTTTGTAACCATTTTGTAGCCAAAAAAAATGAAGTTGAAAGCTGAAGTAGCTGTATTTCATTTTTTTTATTTTACACAGTAGTGAATGGAGTTTTTAGAATTCTGTGTTTTGCTATTTGCTTAATGGAGAGGTTGGTTAGATTTCTGTTTACACATGAAAATAGTCTGTACTTGCATCACATTGCTTCTCATATCATCATCGTGATATCTGACAGCTTTATCCAACATCGCATTTTATGCAAATATCGTACAGCCCTAATAGAAACACATCACTACCCACAACATTCAAACGAGTCTGGAGCAGTAAAATAGTCCCAGGTGACTTTTAAGATCAGGTTCTGTACTTTATCAGGCTTTAAGATGGAAATAATAGCAACACTGTTGGCAAATACTGCATAGCGGCTCTGTGTCTGAGTTTTTGCTGTGTTGTTTGGTTCTCTGCACCAGGCATTTTGGGGGGTAAACTTCTGCTCCATATCTTGGTGTAGAAGCACAGATTTAATAAAAAAGACCAAAAATTATTAAAACATCTTTTAAAAGGTCTAAAAACAGTTTTCTGAAGAGAAAGGTTTCTTTAAGGCCTTGAGATGTTAGATTAGAGCTAAAGCTGATCTCTGGAGAGTGCCACATTTCCAGTAGGTGAGGTTAGGCGGACTGATACTGAAGCATTGGTACTTCCAATCCTGGCGTTTCCTTCAAGAATCAATTTTTATGTACAAAATATATGAAGTGTTTTCTTTGAGCAGTAGTCTGACTATTTTCTCTTAATGAAACTGAATGTATTTGATGCTAAAAAGATGTACGAAAAATGTTTGCAACCAGTAAATTGTTTAGGATAGGAACTACTTTTCCTTCCGCCCTCTGGCTCTGCTCCTCATACATACATACACAGTGGTACACACAGGAGTAAATGATGTCAGATCATTTGGAGTTATTCTACTCAACTAAACATTCTGCTTACTTAATGTAAAGTGCTTCTAATATAATTTTCTGATGCCCACATTGACTGCCCTCACCTGCATGAACTGACCCTCCTGATGATGCTGCTGCTGCACAGACTCGAACTATTTAATAAGAGCCATTTCTTCACCTAATTCTCCCCTTTTCTGTATTATAATACACTGATCAGGCATAACACTATGACCACCTCCTTGTTTCTATGCTCATGCAGTAACACTGACGTGGTGGTGGTGTGTTAGTGTGTGTTGTGCTGGTACGAGTGGATCAGACACAGCAGTGCTGCTGGAGTTTTTAAACACTGTGTCCACTCACTGTCCACTCTATTAAACGCTCCTACCTTGTCAGTCCACCTAAGGTCAGAGACGATAGCTCATCTGCTGCTGCACAGTTTGTGTTGGTCATCCTCTAGTCCTGGTCACAGGACGCTGCCCACAGGACGCTGTTGGCTGGGTATTTTTGGTTGGTGGACTATTCTCAGTCCAGCAGTGACACTGAGGTGTTTAAAAACTCCAGCAGCACTGCTGTGTCTGATCCACTCAGACCAGCGCAACACACACTAACACACCACCACCACGTCAGTGTTACAGCAGTGCTGAGAATGATCCACCACCCAAATAGTACCTGCTCTGTGAGGGTCCATGGGGGTCCTGAGCACTGAAGAACAGGGTAAAAGGGGGCTAACAAAGTATGCAGAGAAACAGATGGACTACAGTCTGTAACTGTAGAACTACAAAGTGCACCTATATAGTAAGTGGAGCTGATAAAATGGACAATGAGTGTAGAAACAAGGAGGTGGTCATGATGTTATGCCTGATCGGTGCATTTTCCACTAATGTTATGTGTTATGTAATGTTATTGTTTTGCTATCCCATGTCGACCAAAGGAGGATAGGATCCTCTTGAGGTTTCTTCCTGTTACTCTTAAGGAGTTTTTCTTTGCCACTGTTGCCATTGGCAACACTCACAGGGGCTTGGACCTGGATTTTTCTGTAAAGCTGCTTTACGACAACAGCTGTTGTAGAAAAGTGCTATATAAATAAACTTTGACTTGACTAACTTCTTTTCACTGTTTGAACCATAAAGGTGTCACTTTACCTTCCTGGCAGAAATTAAAGGAATGGTTTAGTCCAAATGTAGTCCATCAGCCAAGACATGTCCGGTGTCCACAGTTCGCTTCTTATGCTTTGCAGAGGAGCTAAAATATAAAGCAGCCCAAAGAAAGATTTTAGGTGATGTACTCTTATTGCTTGTAGCTACTTGAGCCTTGCAGCTAAAGAAGCATCAAATATGTCTTGGCTGATCAACTACGCTTGGAATAAGGAAGAAGTTGAGTCAATATGATTTTGTAATGAACCTTTCCGTTAAAAGTCCTTTTGAGTGGTTTGATGTGAAATGATGGGTTTTAGAGAAACGTAACGACTTTGCAATGAACCTGCATGTGTCTTCAGTTTCGTATGCAATATTGATGATGATAAAATAGTGGAAATCTGATAAAATAATCTTTCTTTGGGGACTATTGTGTCTTCACCAAGACGATATGAGACAAAACCTTATCTTAAAGCTTTGGTAAAACAATGTCTCAGGCATCAGACAACCATTTCAATGGAAAAGCTTACTGTGAGGGAGATTTAAAGGCTTCAGACGTCTGGTTCCTACCACCACCACTGCGCTTCCCTAGAACGGAACATTTCGTATTGTGGTGTCTGCCACTTGTTCCGTGTTTCAGAAAGGGCTTAGGGGCTTTGTACGCAAAGCTGTGCCTTGTGCGCCATTTAAAAGGCGATTGTTGTTGCTGTTAGTTTGAGATGTGTTTATGTGTTGACTGTGTTTTATTGTGTTGGTCTTCCCAGATAGGAGACAGTTTTGGGCCGATTCTGGCTTTCCTATGTGAGTGTTGGTTAACTACTGGGTAGACGTTAGACATGTGGGCCAGAATAGGACCAGATCCTGGATGGTATCATACCGCTTTGGCTCGTGTCTACATTTGTGTGACAATTCTGGCCTGAATATTGTGGCCCAACAATGTAGTTGGGCCAGATTGGTACCAGATTTGGGCCATATCCTATAGTTCTACTTACTTTACAGTGTGTGGGCCAGATCTGAGCAGAGGACCCAGTCGTATATTGAGCCAGAACAAACCAAGGATGTGGCCCACAAGGGGGCCAGACAAATTTTGCTAACTGGGTTGGGTTTAGTTAGTGTGGATTTGCGTGTGTACCACAGAGAGAAGCTATATGGCTAGAATTGTCCTATTCCAGATGTTTTTCAGTGGCCTTTTCTGCTTTGTTCAATAAAAGAGCATTTCCTTGAGAAGAAACTATGGTTCTTCTCCACCACTGATGCCACAGTATGAAACCAGTCTATATTAATTTATTTATGTCCTTTCCATTTAATCATGAAGAAAATGCTAACAATCTGTGGCATAATGCATATGTTTTGGGACTGTGAGGAGATTTAATCTTACTGGAAAGATGTTGAAAATTAATGTATGATAAGCATCAGAAATCTGCCAAATTTTAGAAGATTTGGACACCTCTGTGGCTATACTTGGACAAAGTGAAGTCACCGTTGTTGTAGGTCAAAATCTGTCCTTTCCCTTGTTTGCTCTCTCTCTACTTACTCATGTGTTCTGTTTTTGTTTTATTACTTATTTATTCTTTCCTCAAGAAGCTTATCAGGTCCCTGTATGTGAATTCTGTTAGGACTGATTTGGTGAACAGTGATTGTTACTGTAACTCTGTGAAAACCTAATAAAATTAACAAAAAAAAAAAAATCGGTGGCATTCCCCTTTAAAATCATTAGTATCGGATCGAAAAAGGACTCGGTGGTATCGCCCCATCCCTACCAACAGCAGAGTCTGCTTTATGCGTTATAGTTCACAATATCACACTGAAATCACAAGCGCCATGAACACCAGCTCCACTACCTTTCGGCCCTCCTTCTTTCTCTCTCTCTCTCTTTATCTATCCGGACTGATATGTCCAGACCCTTTACCTTTCTCCTGTGAGGGGTCCTCCCTCCCTCGGCTTATTTATAAGTTACCTTTTATTAGTCCCACAACAGGAAAATTCACCTCTGCATTTAACCCATCTGTGCAGTGAAACACCCACATACACACTATCGAATACACACACTAGGGGGCAGTGAGCACACTTGGGCAGGGTGGGCGGCCCTATCCACAGCACCCAGGGAGCAGTTGGGGGTTAGGTGCCCTGCTCAAGGGTACTCATCGAACTGGCAACCTTCCGGTCACAAGGCTTGTTCCCTAACCTCCAGCCCATGACTGCCCCAATTTATGTGTTTTGTTTTTGTTTTGTTACATATTTATTCTTTTTCTCCTTTTCCTTTTTTTCATTTTCCTGTATGTGAATTCTGTTAGGATTGATTTGGTGAACAGTGATTGTTACTGTAACCCTGTGAAAACCTAATAAAATTTTAAAAATCGGTGGCATTTCCCTTTAAAATCATAAGTATCGGATCGAAAAAAGGACTCGGTGGTATCGCCCCATCCCTACCAACAGCAGAGTCTGCTTTATGCGTTATAGTTCACAATATCACACTGAAATCACAAGCGCCGTGAACACCAGCTCCACTACCTTTCGTCCCTCCTTCTTTCTCTCTCTCTCTATCCGGACTGATACGTCCAGACCCTTTACCTTTCTCCTGTGAGCCGTCCTCCCTCCCTCATTCCCTCCCTCTCCCCCTCCTTTCTCTGGACTCATATCTCCACAGCGCTACATCCGCCATGCTGGGGCACACCGACTTGTCACGCTGCTGCATCAACTCTGCCGTCTTCTGAGTCGCACGGAGAGCAAACGAAAGTGGCTTTTTAATCGCCGGGTGAGTGAATTTATACCCCACTGCTACTTTTCCCCCGTCGGTTTGGTCGCTGTTGCTGTTTGAAGTCCAGCTGTGGGTGAACGGCTGATGTTACCGTGCGAGCTCGGGCTTTTTCCCCTCTGGGACTCTGAGCTGAACTCGCTCACTTTCCCTGCACTTGTTGCGCGCAGGAACACTGTATCCCGGCTTCGCCTCCCTCTCCGCGTTTTTTCCCTGCTTCTCTCACGAATTCCCGAGATAAAAAAGGAGGAAAACGTGCTTTAGCCGGCTGGACTGAGTTTATTCCTGATCCAGGCTTTGCTGAGCGAGTGAAGGGCAGCGCTCGGTCAGTCATGGCTGTTGTGTTTTTGTCCTGAAGTGTTTGTGTTTGTGGTTCTGTTTATTAGGACGAGGTTCTCGCTCAAACTGCAGAACTGTGAACTGGCTTCGGTGACCGTGTTCATTCATTTTGTTCTGATAGTATCTGCAAAGCTGTGCCAAAGGTAGTGTGAGATCTCGTCCATCTCACAGCTTAAAAAAAGATGGTTCTTATTAAAGAGTCAAAGGGAATGGTTCTCTTTAGAACCATGAGAACCATTTCATGCTTTCATGGCTCTTTGAGTGGTGAAATGCTTCCTCAGATTGATATAGAGTGTGTTTTGGTTCTATACAGAGCCTTTTTTGAAAATGGTTCTATAGAGCACCAAAAAGGGTTCTGCTATTGTTAGAATGTCAAGCTTGTATGCAGTAGCAGAACCCTTTTTGGTGCTGTATAGAACCATTTTCAGACAGGTTCTATATCCATTCGTCATTAATCTGAAGAAATATTTAAATATGCAAATGGCTCTTTGAGGGGTCTATATAGAACTATAGTCTTTACGGAAGAACCCTTGAAGAACCATCTTTTTTAAATGTGTGTACTGGTGTGTGGAGAGTACCTGAATGGCAGTCTAGGTCGAATGAGGTCATTTGCAATTAAAAACAATAAACTGCTTAAAACTTTGACCAAAAGTGTGGAAATGGCTCCTTAAAAAGGAATTAAAGAAAAAAAAATCTGTATAATCCGATTGTGAGATGTTATTCCGAGTGTTTTGGGGTGGAATGGTACATGGTAGAGAAACAAACTGGAATTTCTTTACATAATTGGTTGGAACCAACACAAATATAGCCATTTTATTTATTTATGTATCTAAAACGACCAGTGAATCTACGTTCATGTTGAGTTGTTGTATAATGTTAATAGTGGTAAATGTGAAAGTTTTCTTGTGTACTGTTTTGCCTTACAACACTAAATGTATCTCTCCTCCATGAATGGATTTAAAATTGAAGAGCCAAAGGGAACGGTTCTCTTTAGAACCATGAGTTTTGTACAGAGCCGTTTCATGCTTAAATGGCTTTCATGGCTCTTTGCTTGGTGAAATGGCTCCTCAGATTGATGGAGAGTGTGTTTGGCTCCATACAGAACTATATAACTATGGTCTTTATGAAAGAACCCTTGAAGAACCGTCTTTTTTAAATGTGTATATTGGTGTGTGGAGAGTGTCTGAATGGCTGTCTGGGTCGAATGAGGACATTTGCAGTTAAAAATAACAATAAACTGCTTAAAACTTTGACCAAAAGTGTGGAAATGGCTCCTTAAAGGGGAATTAAAATCTGTATATTTCAGTTGGACGATTAAAAAAAAAAAAGTACATTTTAAATCTCAAAACTATGGCAAAACGATGTCTCAGGCACCATAAGTGTATCCATTTTGTGTAACATTTGTTTTATGTGAGGAAACTTTTACAGGCTTTAAACTCTTCAGACGTCCGGTTCCCATCACCACCACTGTAAACAGTTCTGACTCTGCCAGTATCTCTAGAGGGGCACATTTCATTTTGTCACGCCTTTGTTTACGTTGTAATGATTGAATCCTGCTGAAATTTTGAAAAGTCGGTGGAGTTCCCCTTTAACAGGCATTTGCATTCTGTGAGCCTGGAGGCTTTTATAGCCCCTGATTGAGCTCACTTCAAATCTGTTTACAGCCTCCTGGAGGGCTCTGTTTAGCTTCAGGTCTTCAGCTTTGGATGTTTTTCTCAACTTCTTGAAGTGAAACGTGTTGGGGAAGAGAAAGAGCTTCCAATCTTCACCCAGAGTTTGAGCTTCAGTTCGATAAATGAATTCGAAAGGGGCCTCCTCCCTTTCTCGAAGAACTTACGAGCTCAGATCTAGAGCCCATATATCTCACTAATATCTGTTTTCAGTCCAAACAAAGGAGCCAAATGCTGAGTAATGCAGAAGTGTAAGCAGGGCTCCTCCAGTGAAAAGTGAGCCGGAGAGGAATTGCTGTGTGTCTGTCAGTACGAGGTTAGCACTGGTCACCTGTACGTCCATGGCCTTTTACCTCAGAGTGCTTGAAAACTGACCCAGGAGATTATAGGTTATAAGGTTGCTCCTCAGAATAGTCCCTGACCTGTTCAGCCTTCAGTATTCAGCTTTTGTGGACTGTTAGAGTGGATCTGTGTGGACCTGTTGGGCTTGGCTATGTTTTTAGTCTGTGCCAATGTTTTGACAGATTTTCCACAATATGCTACATAGAAGTGGGCAATATGACCGCACTTGTCGTTATTATCATAAATGACATCACTTTTCTGCTTTTCTGAACATAATGTTGGTGTCGTCAGTACTTAAATCTGCACTCTGTACGCTTTTTGTGTTTAAACTGTGAAGAGGTAGAATTACTGAGTGAGCAGAATAAAACCAGGCTGAAATATGGTGAGTGTGTGCTGCTGCGAGTCGCCCTGTAAAGCCTGAAATAATCATTTAAAAGTCAGAGGCGACGGGTCAGGAGTTTTTCATGTCACATCGTACATCTTTATGTATTAACGTCTCGCACACAGGCTTAAATAAAGGGTCCAGCTTGATGTTTAAGTCTCAAAATCAGCATTATACTGATGAAGATATGATGTCCTCAGAAGACACGTCGTTCACCAGGTTTTGTCTGATTCATCCGCTCGAGGAAGGGATCCGAAGTAAAACCCAGTTGTTGCATGCAATTACGCATTTCCACCAGAGAGGTCTCCAAATCCCACAAAACTTACGTAGTGCAGGTCTAAAGTTGTGCCCTAATGCCTAAGTGTGCCCTTTTCATTAAAACAGTGCATGTCTAAATGAATTTAGTACAGTGAAGTATGTACAAATCTTTTTACTCATAGTTTTAGGGTTTATTTATTTATTTATTTACTTATTTTTTTAAATGTGGCGGTCCTGGTTCTTTGTTGCCTGCTCCAGTTCAGTTTCAAAAACTAAACTAAATACCGTGATACTTATGTTCTTTTATTGTGAAAATGCCTTGAAGTATCGCAAAGATGTATTTTTTCCAAATGCTACACATCTTTATGATTTGAGATGCATGATGATATTAGAATCATATCAGTAATAGCAGATAATTGCTTAAAAAATTGCCCAATATTACAAGCTGATATTTTTTTAATTTCTTTCTTTATTCTGGAAGAGCAGAATGTTTAGGTGATGCTGGTTTACTGTGTTCAAATATTTTTATTTTATTCATTTTACTGCATTTGTATGCCTACAGAAATATACAGAAATGCAACATTTCTTTGTAATCGTAATCCAAATTTTGACATTTTGTAAACGTTTATCTATTGCCATCAGCAGATATGTACAATGAAGAAATCGGAAATCAACTTTTGGTCCAAATTCCCACATTGGTGCGTTCCCGGTGCCCTCTAAAGAAGCCGGCTGCCTCTCCGTGCCCTTTTGTAAGATGTTCCTCGCTACTCTGTTTGAAAACCAAGGTCCTTTTATAGATCCTGTATTGTCTGTCGCCTGATTCATACCTTTAGTCACCGAGTGATTCGCGCTCATTCATGGCCTTCTCCTTTGTTCCAGTCTTGCTGGCTACCCGATAGTTAATTAGAGCAGATGCCATCACATTCATCTTTTCCTAATGAGTTGTCTCGAACTCCCCTGAGGAGGTTTATTTTAATTAGTGTGCATGTATTTGTGGATGTGTCCACTAGATTGATGTCGATAGTGCGTCCGTGACTGAGCTGTGTGCTCGTGGTTTAACAAGGTGGAATCATGTCGTACAGATCCCGCTGGCTGTGGGTCAAACTGGCAGCCTGGTAGCTCTGTAAACCACTATCAGCAACCAATCAATGAACGGTCTGTTCTGGTGCTATTGGAGCTTCTGAAATGCGTAATACTTTGTGCTAAGGGTCTGACCATTTCATCATCTGTTACAACAGAGCTTGGAACACTGAAATTGAATGCACCACTTACTCACTTCTGAGTATCTCACTTATCTTTTGCAGGAACCGCTGCCTGTGATGAAAACTGGGCGCTAGGGAAGTCGAAATAGAATTCACCATTTGGAGATTCATCAAATCCAAATTGTTTAAAGCCTCGGCCGCAGCTCCTAGTATGTTCCAGGCTAATTAGTTACTGAGATTTTCACAAATAACGGAGGGGAGAACATGCCATTGCAGACCGTAACCAAACAAAACAACAATTTATTTTGGCTCTAATTAGAATCGTATGGGGTTTTACAGACTGTAGGGATATTTGCACACATCTGACAGGTTTTAGCAGCTCAATCAACTTTAATGAGGCGATACGTTAACCTTATAAACTGAATAACACTAACAGGCATAAATACATTCCTAAAATACAGGGGTGTCAAACTCAACCACTTAAAGGGCCATAATAAAAATCTCAACAAATCCAAGGGCCAAAGAGCGTTTGTATATTAATACACCAAAATGTCAACAGCAAAGTACAGCCCCTTGTAGTGAATCTTCAAATATTACATGTAAATACTATATTTAGGCTACATTAGCTACAGATCTCTTTAAATGTCCTCAGAATGTAGGTCTGTTAAACCTACCTGTGTGTTTGGTCTCCATATATGACGTCTTCTCTTTCCGCAAGTTCATTAATTCTTGAGATCACTTTCTGAGCTGCTGAGAGTTTCTAGTGTTTATGTTGGTTAAACTGCAGCTGAAAAACTATGGGAGGCA